TCCTTTGCCTTGTCTTGTTTCCTGTTGCTGAATATCTACATCCTCTGTCTCATTTTACAAGTTACAATGTTTCTTAACATAATCAAGGGTGAGAGGGAAAAGAAAAAAAAAATCCTACACATTGCGCCACGGCCGCCAATAAGCTGTTTCTTCTTCACAAATCACAACACATACACAAGCCTAAATGACATCTCCAAATAAAGAAATCATACAAAAACTATATCAGTCATAGTGGCATAGTTTACAAAATTAATCCAATTGAAACAGTGTAGCAATTACTATTAACTGACAGAGGACAATGACTCTTTTTTCTACAATATGATAAAATAAGTAATGCTCACATGTATGTATGTCTATATGTGCATGCCAATTTCTATTGATTTGGGGCCTCCGTTTTTCTGATCTCTATTTGCTCAAACAGTAGAAAGCATGAAAATTTAAACATGTGGCGTAATATTAAATCAAGCTATATGAAGATAACAGCCTAAGAACCAGGTCATCTGAGAACCTTAAGATAAAGGAACATTAACCCACTAAAGAACAAAATCCAAGTGAAAAAAGCCGCATCAATATACTCAGATAGAGAAACAAGAAAATCTAATCTGCACTTTAAAGTATCATGCAATTCTTAATTAATACTTCTTCCCTTTCCCACCACCATTCTTTCCCCATTTAATATTCGTCTATAAGAGTTATCAACATTCACATACTACTGAGATGCAAAAAATTCTGATTCATTGAATAGCAGGTGAGCCACATCTTTCTTCCTGATGGAATAAATCACCAGTGTCTTAAAAAGAATTTCCTTTTAATTTACCACGAATGGAATTTATAGCCCCAGAATTGCATAACAAAGCCATTGTTTTGTTTTGTAACTAGATGTGAGTCCTATGTAACTATTCACAATTTACAAACAGTACAATTGTTAGAATTATTATATTCTAATCAAATTTTTTGCCATTAGGTTGATATGATTATTTAAGTCTCTCTCTCCCCCCTTTTTGGTAACAAAGGTATAAACAAAAAGTAAAAAACAAAGGCTAAGCATTAACCAAAACAAAAAATCTATCTTTGATAGTAGGTAGAGGGAGTTCTCAATTTTTTAAAAAACTATATCAGATATATCAAAAATAAAGTGAAATTACATAAAATCCAATTATTCTAGATGGCTGGACAAATTGGGGGCTTGGACATATACAGATGTCACATATAAACACACAGACACAGTACAACAATCGAAAAGAAAAGCACAACACACGGCTTAATATAGAACTCATATAGGATCTATTATGGGCCTGACAGATAAACAACAATGAAAATAAAATAGAGGAAACTGAAACACGCAAACCTGAGTTCTCTATTTCATTAACTTCAAAGGTATCTAGTGGAATCCTATAAAGCAACTATATATGTTTGAGATATTACATTCACAGCATTGGATGGAGAATAATCAACAACAGAACATGAACAGACTTAAAGAACAACAAGATAATGGACTTTTTGAGCTATAGGAACAAGAAGAAAGGAGAGTCATGATTTGCTACGATGGCATTGTATCAGTAACGAAAATGAGCTTGAAGCTTCAGATAGAGACAAAGGAGTTCTCCTCATCAAAAGATCCAGGGACTCAAGACCTTTAATCAAGAACCATGTTAGGTCACTTAGGCAAACTCTTTAAAGCATTGAGAACGCCAGTAATAATTACCTGTTGAATTCACAAGAATACAATAAAGTTCTATTGAAACTAATCACTCCAATCTACAAATAATATCAGATTTTAATGTTTTTATAAAGTTTGCCTAAAGAAGGCATCATACCACCCATGTTCAGGAGTCTTGTGACTGTTATGCCAATGAAATTGAATACAGTAAGTCATAAGAGGAAGCAATGAAAAATCTTGAATCTCGACGCTTCAGCAAAGAGAATTCGAAGCATCATCTCACTTGCATTTACAATAATAAACAAAAGAGAACATCATCTTAAACAAACAGCCTAGAATGCATCATATTAACCAAACCCAATCATGATCTTAAACAGTAAAACTTCCAAAGGCATAGAACATCTCCAAAATTTCTTGGAGCTTTTACACAGGGCATAATGAACACATTGATTGATTCAGAAGATTTATGGTGAACCAGAAGAGAATAAAATTTCACAGATTTTTTACCTTTTCCTTCTTCCCCGAACAGGCTTCACCTCCTACTCTGCTTCATGTTTGCCCCCTGTTTCCTCTTACTCAGTCAGTCACCTTTTTGTCCGTCTGTCATCGAATACTCGAACCCTCAAACCCTCTTTTCCTCTCCTCTCAATTGCTTCCTCAGATACCTTCAAGCTACCCTTCATTCTTATTTGGCTACGATCAAACTCTATCTCATTCATGAGAGGGGCTTGAACGGAGGGGACTTGAGAGTTGAGAAGATACTGAAATCTGAATCCCTCGCAAGATTTTTATTTGACCACCTGTCAAGAGCTGACATCCCCTAAGCTCCACTCTATGGCACTTTACTCGCAAGAACTCTCCATGAATAGCCCTTTACGTAATACTGTCCTCTCAACAAAAGTGACGAGCACAAGTTTATAGGAGTGGCCTCCAAACCTTAATTCTTGCGACTCTTGTTCCATGGCACTTCACACTATCACGACTGGTCAGAACCTTTCGTGGGAGACCTTTTTTGAGACCACGAGCTTAAAAGGAGTGGTATTACCATCCAAAAGATTAGCCTATTGAGAGTCCTTTAAACTTATAAACCTCATATCACTTGTGAGGCTCCCTGATGTGAGATTCATGATATTAACCCACGGAACTATTTTGTTGAAGCAACACTCAAAATTGTTGCAATGTCATTTTAAACTAATTTGATCATTAGCTTGGGGTGGATTCAAGAACATTTTTTTACTTAAAAACTCGTGAATGAATAATTGGCACCCTTTAAAATACCCCTTATACAAATGCAAGATACTGTTTTATAATTTATAACTTGATGTTCAAATACTAATCACAAGATATTTGAATTTTGACAAGTAATTTTCTTCCAAGTCATCATCCAGTGAAAATTCCAACTCAAAAATCAGCAAGTTATGCAATTAACAAATTTATTTTTGATTGGATTTAGCCACATTTTTAAAATAAGATTCCAAATTATCTTAAAAAATTAACAACTAAAAGTTATATAATTGATAATAACCGACAATAATGTATGCAGATTTTTACAAATCAATCTCAAGTTTTTAAAATAAAATTTCAAGTAGCCTAAAAGAATAACTAGAGTTCTACAATTAACAATAACGCAAGTTGATTTTCTCAAGCCAAGGATTTTGAATAAATGAGGATTTGGATTTCGGAAGAAAGCTACTCTCAATATCTAAACACCTAGATAACAAAACAACATATTACCATCCTCAATAAGCCAATATATACAGAAGTAGATTAATGTATTAACTTAGAAGTTGGAATCTTTGTTTTCAGAACATAAGTGTTGGGATATCTACCTTGGTGAATCAGGCCCAAATATAAGTTCAATTATAAAATGGGCTAAAGTATACATTTAATTCTCTAATTTTATATAAAATTTTATTTTAATCCCTTAATTTTATAAAATATATTTTTAGTCCTTTAACCTTAACACTATTAATTTTAAATAATTTTTTGTACCCGTTATTGTTATTTAAAAAAAATTAAATTGAATAAGTCAACATATTTAAAAGTTCAATCAATTTTTTTTCATGGAACTAATGATGTTAGTGTTAAAAGATTAAAAATATATTTTTAAAAATTAAGGGATTAAAATAAAATCTTGCGTAAAATTAAAGCATTAAAAAATATACTTTAGCCTTATAGAATGAGGCTTTATCAGAATAATATTAAAAAAAATCTGGTTTTTTATATTTGATATACCCAGGACTCCTAAGTGTAATTTTCTCCTACTGCTTGAAAAATAGTGAATATACGCCCATTTCATCCGTGGAGGTTATAAGAAAATAATCAGAACTGTTTTATCATTATAAGCATATCATCTATCCTCTCTTCTTCTGTGTGAGTAAGAACCGAGTTTGCATGGTGTGGTAATACTGTTCCCACATAGTAATCCATCCAATGCGGCTCAAAAGTTTGTTTTCAAACTCTGTTTTCTTGCAACAAGGAATAAAGGCCTACGTACAAGGTCCTTTTTTTGTTTTTTTTGGGGTGCAGAAGGTCTACGTATTAGGCAAAGTCATGACGTGATTACAATCCTCATAAAGCAAACGATCATGTTGAAGGTCTTCCACGAGACACGAGCTTTATCAATAGTACGAAGGAAAGGATCCCATTTGCTTGCGCCAAAATATGCATATTCATTAAACGGTGTCTTTCCCTCAAATTTAAAATTTGCAACTAACAAAAAAAATATTTACATCTAGTGCTCAACTATATTTCAAATAAAATTATTTTCAATAAGAAAATATATGCAAACAATAAAAAATGAACTATGTTACGCAACCCTCATGTAAGCATAATAACACATTATAAGTACGAGAAACACCACATCTACCACAAACTTCATAAATTTTGATTTCCAATTTTAGTTTTATAAGTGCGGGAAACACTACATCTACCACAAACTAAATCACAATTTCCCCCTTGTGAATATATATGATTGACTTATCTCCTTTCTTCATCATGATAATTCTATTTTTATCTTTATTTTCTTAATCTACATCCAATTCATTTCCATTTGAACAAGCAACCAATCGAGCTTTAATTTATTGGTATTAATGGAGACCCCAGTATTGATGATTCGTTCAATTGATTTATACTCTTAAAATTAAAAGTTAAAACCAATAATCGTTATTTCATTCCAACCGAGAAGATATTAAGAGCTAAAAAGACTACGCAAAGAATGAAGTATATTCTTCTCCGAAGAATCTTACATGAGTAGAACTTAAGCAAAGTCAAGAATTTTGTGTGCATGCTTTGCCGGCAAAACACCATGCATGAGGCAACCTCTCGTATAAACCTCAAACTTCTGATGTCAACACTACGTTTCCTTTTCTCCTGTTGATTTTTTTTTCTTTTGTTGATCTGATCAACAGTGGACGTACGTCGTCGTTCTGTGACATCACCGGCGGCTCAAGCCCAATAACTTATATAGGTATATACATGCTTCGTTATTTGAAAGATATATCTATGTGTGTGTGTGTGTGTGTGTAGAGAGAGAGAGAGAGAGAGAGAGAGGGAAGATACATAGGATTCGTGTTTAATTGAATGATCTATTTTGTATTGTTCGAAGACAAATTTAAGCATTAGAATTCGGTTTGCGATCTAGGTAAGATGGATATCTAACAGGATAACAGATTCAGGCTAAAAGAATAATTATTCATACTGATTAATTACCATCACAACAGATTCATCATCTTTGACAATGACATCGTCGTCATCAACCACATCAAAAATGAGCTTGAAGCTTTTAGTTGACACAAAATCTGAGAGAGTTCTCTTCGCCGAAGCATCCAAAGACTTTGTCGACTTCCTCTTCAACCTCCACCGCCTGCCGATCGGCACTGTCACAAAGCTCCTAACCAAAACCAACATGGTGGGTTCGTTAGGCAAGCTTTACGAAAGCATTGAGAATCTCAGTAACACATACTTACTGCAACAGAAACAAGGCAAAGACATACTGCTGAAGCCAAAAGCCCTAATTCCTCCTGGCTTCCTCTTGCTCCCAAATTACGAAGGGAATATTAAAGAAGAAGATCATCAAGAGCCTCCTAAGCTGTACATGTGCAGGAATAGGTGTCAGTATACTGTGACTCTGGTTATGAACACGCCATGTTTGTATTGCAGAAATCCTATGAACAGTTCAGTGACGTACGTGGGGAAGAAGGAGATGGAAGCGAAAGGTTCTGTTGGGGAGGATGGTTTTGTGAAGGACGTGGTGACGTATATGGTGATGGATGATCTTGTGGTCCAACCTTTGTCTACTATTTCATGTATTGCTTTGCTCAATAAGTTCAACATCAAAGATGTCAGTTCACTGCAAGAAATGGTTGTTGAGTTTGGAATACCAGAGGTAATTTTAGTGTGTGTGTATATATACATGTATGTGTGTATGTGTTTGTGTTTGTGGTTTTCAAGAATAAATTATTGTTATTTCATATATATATATATATATATATATGCTTTTTGAAAGAGCCATTTTTTCACTCTTAGAATATTTAAATACCTACCATGCTATTAATTTATTGATTGTTTCACTCAAAGAATAAGAATATGATATGGAGTCCGTTCTACAAATTAAAGGACTTGAAATTTAAAAAAGTTATCTCCATGTAAGACTAAATTTGACAGAATTAATTATTTGCATATAAAAAAGTTAAGGGGATCTAGTAAATATAATCTCTACGACCATAGAAGAAGGAGTTAGTGAGTTTATTTTAGTCATAAATATTAAGCCTGAGTCTCATTTTGTCTCCCATGTTTAATTTTTTTTTTTCCAAATTACTCGTGCGTATCTCTCGTTAGATTCTTGCATATATGTGAAAAACAAGGGTATTTTGGGAAAACTAGCTCGCTCTTTGCAAATGAAAAAAAAAATCTTAATCTATGCTAGTTTATTAATAAAATAACAAATAATCGACAACAGAGTTTGTCTGCACAAACTTGAAATTTGAGGGACTTTTTACAAATTTTATAAATTAAAAAGATTATTGATACAAAGTTATAAATTTAAGTGAGTAGTTTTTTGGTCAAAAATAACTAAGAGATCAGTTTTATATAATTCAGTCTGCAAAGTTATTTTGCCTTCTAAATATCAACACCTTTATTTCTTGAAAGTATACTAGCATATTTATGCTTTTAATTAATTTGCATTGGCTTTTTTAACCTGTTTGCTTAATATGCTGCATTTTTTTGCTTTTGTTTTTTTTTTTTTGGACTACTGCCCTAATCATCCCTTATTTACTAGGGTATGGAACTGCTTAAGGCTTCTCTGCAGTGCAGCAATGCTTTGACAAGTGTTTTTCTCAAGAATATCAAGTTTGAGAAAGAATCAAATATGATCCTTCATTAATGCCATCATACATATGTACACACACATATCAAAGAGTGTTGTTGCTTACTTGATTCCATTTAATTGTTCTTTGTCATGCATGGATAATTAAATAGGTGTGCTTATCAAATATAAATTAGAATGGATGTAAACAAAGGGAGAGTTGAACTTGTCACATGTGTATTCCTTAAACCCTATAGTAGTATACTTTGTGCTTTAATTTGTTTTTCGGAGTTACAGGCATGCATGTGTGTGTGCGTATAATACTTTGTTGGCCATTAAAAATAATAAAGAGAAGAAGGATAATTTATATTCAGTCTTTTTTTTATTAAAATTTTTTAAATGAGTTAGATTCTGGGGTTTGTCAAAATTAGGATATATTCGTGGGTTCAAAAACATTTACGAAATCATCACCTAATAAAGTACTCACATAAACATTAGGATTTGAACCCACACTTTAGACCTTTGATTGATCTCTCATCATCACTTGCTAGAATCTCAAAGGAGTAATTAAACAAATATATGGTAGAAAATAAATAACACAATTTAACAAGAGACACCATAAATTATAATTAACCTAAAAAACCCCTCAACGTATGAGTAAAAACTAAAACCAGTAATTTGGACTATTGCTAGCCTGAAGAAATTTAGGATCAATATTGGTAAAATAGTTGTTTTTTTAATTTCAGGCACACGGGCCAAGTCCGATTGTTATTTTTTATTATTTTTAATATATAAAATATCTGAAAAAATTTAAAATATATTTTAAAGTTTAAGACCTTCAAAAAAAGTTAAAAAAATTGAATGTTCTATATTTTCTCAATATCCCAAAAATAATATGTTACATTTTTTTTATAATATAAAATGATTAATTTTAATGTAAACATTGAATTTTGCTTTTAAAAAATTTAAAAAGTTTAGTAATTTGGGTATTCAGGCTAGCTCGAATAAGCATGACCCACCCAAAGTACCAACTCTAGTGAAAACCGTGGTATCTGGAGCGATAAAAAATAGCTCCATTATTAACAAAACAAGATATAGGAGAGTCTTAATTAGATGCACAAACAAATGCAAACAACTAGCCAAAACACCAAAGTATAAAAAGCTTACAAAAGAAGAAAAATGCCTAAACCAAACAAAATGATGAATTGAATAACTCTCGCACCAAAAAACAAATCAATAATCCAACTATTAAAAATGGCATATTAGATGAATTCGCAAGCACAGATTTATCAAGAATGCTAGAAGATAGTTTTATCTCCTTTCTCTCAAATGGCTCCTCATAAAATTTGAATGTGACATCTCTCTCATGACCTAATTTGATCTCTCTCCATTTTAGGTAGTAAGACTCATATGTAAAGGGAGCCAAAACCTAACAGATCTCTCATAACACTTTGCATTGTATTTAACGTGAATTTCTTTTTAAAAATTTGGTTAATAATAAAAATTTAACTTTATATCTTCAAAATTATTTGGGGGAAATAAGAAAGATTGATATTTTAAGAAAATTTTCACGGCAAATAATCTCAAATAGGGTTTTGTCTAAAAAATTTTTATGAAATTAACTATGGCAAATTAATTTTAAATACTTATCCCATTATATCTAACATATATGTAGATACATCTTATGCGTGAGTTAGCAAATAAAGAATCTAGTAATGTAGTAAGAGACATCACTTGAGTTAGACAAGTCTATTAATTAATCAAGGTAATTTTAAGGATTAAAGGGTATGTTTGTCCTAGAACTTTTTCTCCAAGGATGTTGGGTATCCTTAATTTTTGTTTGAAGCTTTTTTGCCACAAGGCTTTTAAAAAGAGAGTAATTTTACCCTACCGTTAGGTTTGACTATTAGTTGATTGTATGTTTGACATTCCATGTGGCAACCACATGGCATTTTTTTTTTAAAAAAAAAACTTAGATGTAGTTTCCTCTTTCTCTTCCAGATCATCAACCATGACATTCAACTTCTTCCACCCCCATTTCTCTCCCTCCAACCACCCCCTCCTTGAATACTTACTCCCTCCGACCACCCCCACCACTTTATACATTCTTAGAAAACGATGACCAACTTTAAACTTAGAGCCAAAAACTAAAGGAGCCAAGAATTCAAAATAAAATTTGCAAACACTAATATTGTTTTCAACCCAAGAACTCACAAATTTAACCAAAGTGATCCCAGAACTCATATTAGCAAAAAAGCAATGTGCAGATAGAAGAGGGCAAATAAAAGAGATCAAACTCATCAATTCAATCAGTGAGGCGAACATCCCTGTGTATGTGTGCTTTGCTTTAAAATGAAGGGTTCGAAGCTTCACTTGTCTGATTGAGGAAGGAAGAAGATGAGGAGCCAATAGAGGAAGAAAAAGAGGCAGAGAAGATTTAATGGCCATGTGTGATCCTTCTTTTTTTATTTTTTAAAATATGCCATGTGGAAGAACACAGTTAACTAACAGTCAAATCTAACGGCAAGGCAAAATAGCTCCCTTTTTAAAATTTTCAATAAAAAAAAGCTCTAAACAAAAGTTCAAATATCTAGCACTCCTGAAAAAAAAGTTCCAAAGGAACCCTAATTTTAATTGATATAAGTGATAGTTAGATTTTTATAATAGGTTTTTGTATACAAGATTTTAAGCATTGTTTGCAAAACTGAACTAAATTCGCCCGTCAGACTAGCTAATCAACTGTATGTCTAGTTCAATTTTCTTGTTTGAAGTAGACACAGGTGACCCGCCTAACCTCGTGAGTTGGTGGATTTTTTAAAATTTTTAACCCCAAAGCAACGTCATTTTGGGGGTTAGAAATTAACCAAAAAAAAAAGGATAGAAACCTAGCATACTATCATTCGATCCTTCTCCTTCCTCCTCCTCCTTCACTTCTCATTTCCAGTTCTCCACTTGCTCTCAGATCTCAGTCGAGCTCTCTTCGTCCCTTAGCTTTCCTTAACATCCATTGTGGGTCTCACCTTCTTCACTAGTCCCTCAATGTTGCTCAAGTGCTTAATGTTGTTGTTGTGCACATTCTCTTTAAGGCTTAAGCAAAGATGAAGAAAGAAGAGAGAAGTAGATGAAGAAAGAAGAAAGAGAGAGATGAAGAAGGGAGAAGCAAGAAGATGAAGAACCCAATGCATGAAGGAAAATTCAAAAAAAGTGAGGTTATTATGCTCTACATATTAAAAAGAGTGAAAGGGTGGTGATATTTTTTAGGCTACAAATAGATAGGGAAAGAATTTCTTTCTCTCTCTCTCTCTCTCTATGTATATATTGTAAATTTTATATATCTGCATTATTTTTTAACAAAATATTTATTATTTATTATATAATGAAAAAATATTTTATTTTATTATGACCAGTTCAATTCTAGTTTGACTCCCAATTTAATCCTTGTTGAACTCTTGACCCTTAATCCCTGATCTTGGCTGGTTTAATATCCAGTCTGATTTTCAATACCATGATTTTAAGAATATATATGTTATAATACAATACTATAGCTAGCAAACCTGAAATAGGCCTTGGTGGTGTAAAGTTAGGGGAAAATTCACGAGCTCATAATAATGTTGGAACTTGGAAGGATTGTGGAGATCAGTTTTTTTTTAAAAAAAAAAAAACAATGAAACTGTCAGTATTTCAAGTTTATCTCCATTATCAATTTTATCTTTTAAGTTTAATTTTTATTCATATAGTCTCTTAAGTTTTTTTAAATTAATTTATTGTGTTAATCCTTTAAATTTTAAAACACTAAATGACTCTCAAATTAATGAAAATGAAAGTGCATATTTGGTCCTTTAACTTTATATACATAAAATTTTATTTTGATCTCTTAATTCTATAAAGTATCATATCAATCCTTGAATTTTAATATCATTAGTTTTATTAACAAAACTTATCGACATTGAGCCTTTAAATGTTGACAAAAAAATATCAAATGTTGATGTAGCAAGTTTAACTTTTCAAAATAACAATAGTGACTAGCACAAAACAAATCATTTTGAGGAGTCTAATAATGATGTTAAGGTTAAATGAATGAAAATATACTTTATAAAGTATGTTGATGACTTTACATGCATATATAGCTAAATGAAAATAAATTAACCTTTAAAGTAATTTAATTTTTACTAATTTAGTCTCTTACAATACATTTGTTCTTTTACTTTTTTTAGAATTTCAAAGTTTATTTTTTTCTACTGAAATAATTACATTTTTTTTATTAATTTACATAGCTATCAACAATATTATGTTATTCATGTCAACAGATCATTTTAACAATATTACTTCCTTTTTGAACAATTAGGACCGGATCAATAATTCCTACAAAATATATTTAAGGGACTAAATAATAAAAGTTAAGCTTAAAAGATGAAATTAATAATTAAGATAAATTTAAAAGATTAAAACTTTTATTGTACCTATTTTTTATTAAAAGAATATTAGACCGTGAGATTACACAAAGAATTAATGATATTCTTCTGTAAAGAATCTTACTTTTAAAAAACTTAAGTCAAGAATATTTTTTGTGCTAATATTTCCTTTTTCTACTATTGATTTCTCCATGTAAATCTGATCAACAGAGAACTTACATCGTGGCTTTAAGTTCTGACATCACCAACTTCTTAAGCCCAAGAACCTCATAGGTATATATGATCAAGGGTAGTTATGCTTGTCCTATCTCAATCTGTCCGGTTCTCCTAATCATGTTAAGATGGATGGGTCTATCCCATCCTTAAAAAAAATGAGATGGGACAAAATTATGTTTCAGACAAAACAGAACATGAGATCACTATCGAGACATCCTGTCTTGTCCTGAATATATTATTATATTTTTATTTTCTTTTTAATATTTAATATTTTGTTCATTCAATTAGAGTCAAAGAATATATTTTTTCGTTTCTTTATTTTATATTCTTTGTACATAAGTTATATAACTTAAGAATTCTATTATTATTATAATATTTACAGTCTGAGAGTTATTTTTATTGTTACTGTGCACTTGACTTTAAATTGTGGTTGTTGCTATTGTATTGTTTTACTTTAAATTGTAGTTATTGTAACTCAATTATTGAATTTATGTATTTGTACTGTTTTGATTCTAGACTTAACAAACTATAAGAGAATGGATCTAACTTTATTTTATTTTTTCTTGTTCTTTTCACTAGTGGGTGGGCACAGCATGCATGCTACATCAGATATCTAAGAATATACATTAGTAGGCTTTAGACGCTGACACGCGCACACGATTTGGGCAAACCTTCTTGGCTTGCTCACATATACAAAAGGCAAGCTAATCTTCACCTAACAAAAATAAAAAAATAAAACTAAAAA